TTAACATTATCTTTATGATATATATTCTGATTTGTATAACTGATTGATTTATAGGCCTCCTATACATAAAATAGTAGATTTTAATTCAAAAGTAAAAATAAGTTTGCATTTATTCTTAGATTTTTATTCCCATTTTCCTCATAATTGCCTCATTTGAAAAATAAAAGTTTATGTGTTATGTTACTTAAATGTTTGAAACTGAGCAAAACAAAACTGTGACCAGGAATAAAACAATACTTACCCTAACTTTTATAGAACAAAAAGCACAGTTTGTTTGATTAATACTTCCTGAGAAGGATTGAACGAGTTTTGAAGTCTAATAAAAGCTCCAAAGTCTAATACACATTCATAAATAAAAATGTATTTATGGTTATGAGAAATGAATTAAATAATCTCAAAATTATAGTGTATCCTAACTATTCAGACATTACACAATTCGTTGTAAAGAATTGGGTGTGGAGCTGTATTGCACAAAAAAGACCATTATAAACTATGCGATGTAGACAAAAATTAATCGTGTGTATTGGCTACAGAACAAATTTTAGGTTAAACACACTGGCCTATTTGAGGAACGGCCGACAAATACAAAAAGGAAGGTTTTTGGGAAGGGTTTATTCCATTATTTTCTGTTGTGGCCAACTTAGTATACAAAAAAGAAAAGAAAACACTGGCTGCAGATGCGCTACTAATAATGACTTGTGGCTGTGTGGTAAAACATGGGAGGAGCTTCAGAAGAATCAACTTTTTCAGCTTTTGAGGCGTGCGCTATGTTGATTCTTCTCCAAAATTGAGAGTGAAGGTGAATCTGAACGTCCTCTCCGCATAATGGTGCTTTCCAGAACCAGCAATTTTTTTTTTACGAAGCTTTCTGGTGATTAAGGCTTTTTTTTATGTTCAGCAATTTATGTGAAGGAGAATGGATTATGCGTGCGCGCGCTGCCATCAGCATGACAAGAATCGAGTTGAGAGCGCGCGCGACAGACAAATGACAATTTTAGTCATTCTGTTGATTTTTGTTGCGCTTCTTCCATATGCGCTCACAGCGCGTAAGTACAATTTCAAATATTTTTGAAGTTTACTTTGAAGCAATTTGAGAAGTCTATAAACGTCATGTTCATTTAAAGGTCTTGTTGGAGGTGTTTATGTTTTCATTTTCATCTCTACTCACGTTTATGTCAGTTTAGAGGTCATATTCGTCTTAGTTTACGGTAAAATTCAATAGTTAAGAAAGATGTATTAATTTGAACTGTGGTAACTTGTCATTAGCAATGGCTTTCATCAAAAATAAAAAGAATGAGAGAAATGTTCTGAAAACTTCTCATACTGTTTGAAAGGCGACCTTATAATCGTTTACAGCACTAATAGTAAATTGCATTTGGAATAAACTATTGGAAATTAATGTAAATGTGTGCGAAGACATGCTATATTAAGTTGTAAATAGATCTATAATAGGATAATAACTGTGTATTAATAAACAGAAAAACCTAAGGTAAAAGAAGTAGTGTTACTGACAAAAATAACTCGTCCTCGAGTGCAATATTGCTTTTATGAAACAGTCACTACATGATAAAATTATTAAAGACACTAATTTAAAAAGCAAATTCATTAAGTTAGTTATCCTTCCTCTAGAAGATATACTCCATCATAATATAATGTTGCTATGCAAAAAAAAAAAAAAAAAACTTTGCTAGAAGAGATGAAAACTGCGTACATAATTTAATATTATTGTCAATATAATTGTTAATTCACTGATTTCATTGGTCAGTCTCTCAATGCTAAAGCATCCAATAAGGTACGTCTTTCCTAACAAGTACAGTACCATAGTTTATACATTAATTATTCAGTCTTGTTTCCCAACTCTTCAGTGTTCAATGGCACATGTTAAAGAGCTTGTCCACTTCCCACCAGGAGCAGAAATGATCTGCATCAACACTTGGTTTCTCCGAAGGCCAGTAGTAGCTCTTCAAATCCAGCCATCGTTCCCTCTGAACATTTGTCTTAAACATGAATAAATATGAGCTCTGCGGACACACAAGACGAATATTTACAAGATGGAAAACCACTTCAGTTGCTGAAAAATGACCTTGTGCTACCTTTCCAACTGCGGCCATAAATCCAGTTGTAAAATTGCTGGAATCATGAAGTCTCCTCTTCTTCTGACCCCCAGACTTGGCTGTCATATCCCCCCAGGACCCAGTGCTTCCCATCGGCTCGAGCTTGACTGCGGTGTGCACCATTAGTGCCGAGCTGGAAATAACAGCTAGATCCTTGTACTGGACGCTGAATGGAAGACGCTTGGCTAGAAACACTTATAGGGTCCTGAGCCCGACCGAATCCAGCGTCACACTTCATCAACTGAATGGCTCCTTGCAGCGGTCAGGAGACAACCTGGTTTGCCACAGAAGTAACGGAGAAGTGTTGGCCGGATCGTGTCTTTATGTCGGCTGTGAGTCTGTGAACATTTCTGGCTTACACCAATCATGTTTTGGTGTTTTTTGCCATGTGTTTTTGAATATTCATGCCGACCTCTTCTTTTTATTTAAATTTGACATATAGCGCCCCCTGAGAAACCCGTCAACCTGACATGCTGGTCACGAAACACCAAGGATCTCAGCTGCAGATGGAGTCCGGGAAGTCTAGGAGAGACGTTCATCAACACCAAATACATCCTCAAGTACAAACTAAAGTGAGATTTTGACACAAAAAAACTTCATACCAACACCTGTTTTGCAAGAATGCCTTTTAATATGCAATTTTTCCATTTCAATAACTGTCTAGATGGTACGGTAAAGAGAAAGACTGTGAGGACTACACGGGACAGCCGTATACATGCTACGTTCCTCGCGACCTTGCCATTTTTACGCCATATGAAGTCTGGGTGGAGGTGTCCAATCAGCTCGGCTCTGCCACTTCTGATGTCATCACCTTAGACATTTTAGATGTAGGTAAGTAAGACTGAAATATGCTAGTTTGATGGAAAAATGGATGTTGAGATCAAGGTGACTTGGGATAACGTCACGCTTATTAACTCGCACATAAATGCACAAAACCATCTGAACGTCTTGCATATGGTGCGCACACACTCATCTGTGAGAATAGATTTTTACCGACTGTAAAAACACTTTCCAACAGCTGAAACGTTTCCAAAAGGCAACTCGTGAAAATAGTACTTTAAAGGTCAATGGGCAGCTGAAAGTCTGTTGGCAATTGGTTAAAATTTTTAATCAAATGACATTTGACATACCAATGCATTAATCGAATTAATCACAATTAAACTATATCCATCAATCAGCACTTTTTGCTGAGAAAAGCAAATATATTACATTACTACATCTTCAAGGCCTCATTTCCTCATCTTCTGAAACAATAAGCTCCATGATTGGCTTTGCCCTAAAGGCAAGCTTGATTAAAAAACGTAGCAGTGGAGCACGTCCATTTTAAACAACAATAGAAACGGGAGATTGCCGTAATAACGGCAAAATGTCATTGAGCGCCAATGAAGGTTTATTGGGAGGTTCAATTACAAGAAGTTAGTCTTTGAAGTGAAAGAAAGAATAGTTTAACGGTTACCAGCTTTTATTGGGTTTAATCAACAGCTCTGAAAATGCCTTTCGTACAGTGTCAGTTAATGTGAAATATTACGTTCAGTAACTACAGATCCGCCTCCTGATGTCCTTGTGAGCCGCGTTGGAGATCTGGAAGATCAGTTAAGTGTACGTTGGGGCAGTCCTCCTGCCCTGAAAGACTACCTGTTTCAGGCCAAGTATCAGATACGATACCGTGTGGAGGACAGCGATGAATGGAAGGTATGGCTGGAATGGTTTAGTCCAGGGGAGTTCAAATCCTGCTCCTTGAGGGTCAACATTCTGCGGTATTTAGCTCCAGTCTGCCTCAACACACCTGTCTGGAAATATCTGGTAATCTTGAAGACCTTGATTAGCTGGTTCAGGTGTGTTTAACTGGTGTTGGAGCCAAACACTCTTAAAAATAAAGATTCCAAAGGAGAGGACCCTCCTTTGGAACCTTTATTTTGGAGTTCCAAAGTTCTGTAAACAACACTAGACGTTAAAGGTTCTTCATGGAATCATAGATACCAATAAAGAACCTTTTTTTTAAGAGCACAGAGCAAGATTTGACACCCCTGGTTTAATCTAATAGAAAATAAAATTTAAAGCAGGGATATCCAATCCTGCTCCTGGAGGACCACCATCCAGCAGAGTTTAGCTCTAGTCCTAATTAAACATACCTGAACCAGTTAATCAAGGTCTTCAGGATCACTAGAAACTTCCAAGCAGGTATATTAGAGCTAAACTCTAAAGATGATGCAGGAAAGTGGCCCTCCAGGAGCAAAATTTAAAGTGACAGTTCACCCCAAAATTAACATTCTGTTATTGTTTAGTCAGCCTCATGTGATTCTACATAAGTTTCTTTGTTTTTTGGTACACAAAATGAGAATTTTTAAGGAATCTCCTGGCCACTCCTTTCTGAACCCTAAATGATGACTGACCCCAAAATGGTGTCCTGCCTCTTAAAGGTAGTCCATATGACTTGTGCACTTTATTCTAAGTCTTTTGAAGTCATATGATAGCTTTTTTGATTGAATGATTCATTTAATTACGACTAATCCAGTTCTCACATTCAACTCACTGACATAAGGATCCAGCAGTTAACTTCTCACTAGAGAGGAAGATTATCTGTCTGTGATTTCACACTCTCCTTTTCAGAAACCTATCGTACGGTTTTCAGAAGGCTTGGAATATAGTGCACTAGTCCTATGTATGATGCTGTTCCAAACCTGTATAACTTTTACAGGTTTGGAATGACATGAAGGTGGGGGGAAAAAAAGGACAGAATTTACATTTCTGGGTGAACAGCTTTCCCCAATATAATGTCTAGTGCACATACTTAAGATTATTATTCTTAGTTTTAATTTTCTATTTCACATGAGGTCATAGATGATGCCTGGAACCAGACGTCTTGTCGGTTAGCGGGTCTCAGGGCCGGTACAGTGTATTTCGCCCAGGTACGCTGCAACCCGATAGGCGTCTACGGCTCGAAGAAAGCAGGTATTTGGAGCGACTGGAGCTACTCGACTGCCGCATCGACACCTGGCATCGGTGAGTTACATCAAAATGCAATAATGCTACATCCCTTTACTTCACATAAGGCTTCTGCATCACAAGCTAATTCGATTCAAACCATATGTAAACACTGCAAAAACATCAAGCTACTTGATAGAGATCTCTCATTAGTAGATTCAAAAGACTTCAGCAAAATGTCAGTGCTTTTTTAGGGCACAATTGATGAATTCTTTGGGCTTTTTGTAGATTGATAAATTAAAAAAGTCTTTAGAGCATGTTTAGATTAAAGGGGCGGTCAACCTGAAACTTAGTGAAAACAGATTTGGTTCATAAGAAATGATGTTACATGTTTTGTATTAAAGAGAGGATGTTATTAAGCTCTGTTTTATGCCAAGCAATATGAGTTATGGCAAGTCTGAGCTCCCCCTCCTGCATTCTCTATGTTTAATGCTTTGGAGCTCATTAGCAGGGAGCTGGTAAATAGCCTATTTTTCATGGGTATGTGCACATCGCTCAGGGCAACACTGTACAATCGACAGCATTTAAGCAACTGTCGTCAACTGGGGTTGAATTTAACAAATGTCTTACAAATGCATTTATCTGATGATTCGCATAGAAAATATGTAGACACTAATTTTAAAAAAAGCAAATAATGAGTACTACATAGAGCTGGGTGATATACTCAGTATTAAAGAATAACGATATACTTGGGAAGAATTTGCTAGTGATTTAAAATTAATCAATGTTGTGGATATCGCTTTTAAGTTTCCTATAAACAGTGTGTCATTAAACTAGTTTCACAATCATTGTCTCTCCAGTATGAAAGTGTTAGAACAATTATTTTTTGTTGGTAATTTCAATTTATTTTCGTGAATCAGTTCCAATGGTTCGAATTCATGAATTTATCAATTCCACTCTTGTGTTGTTATTGCTAACTAAAACTAAAACAATTAAATATCATTTCCTTTAATTGAAGTGCAGCTGAAATAAAATAAAATAAAATATAAATATTAGTTGGAAAAAAAAAAAGAGAGAAATAACTTTGGCAACTATCTGAAGTAAAATAAGTACTAAAATTACTAAAACTATAGCTAATTAGGAATATTAAAAACAAAATCTAATAAAATGACAGCACAACCAAATTTCTATCTCTTAAATTAAAAAGTAAAAAGAAAACTAAAAACATAAAAATAAAAGTTAATTATTAAAATGTTAATAAAAACTATAATAATCTATAGGCAAGGCAAGTTTATTTATATAGCACATTTCATACACAATGGTAATTCAAAGTGCTTTACATAAAAGAAATGAAAAAATAACAATAAAACAAGGAATTTAAAACTTTGAAAATGATTTGAAAATTGATTTAAGAGGTTTAAAATGAATTTAAGAAAACGATTATACATAAAATATAGTGCAATCAGTTCGGACATAGCACAGTGCTCATTCAATGAATGCACAGCTAAACAGATGAGTTTTGAGTCTGCATTTAAATGTGACTAATGTTTTAGCACATCTGATCTCTTCTGGAAGCTGATTCCAACTGCGGGCGCCATAATAACTAAAAGCAGACTCCCCTTGTTTTGGGTGAACCCTTGGTATTTCTAACTGACTTGATCCTAATGATCTGAGTGGTCTGTTAGGTTTATATTCAGTGAACATATCTGCTATGTATTTAGGTCCTAGGCCATTGAGTGACTTATAAACGAGTAAAAGTACTTTAAAACCAATCCTAAATATAACTGGAAGCCAATGTAAGGACCTGAGGACTGGTGTGATATGCTCAGATCTTCTGGTTCTAGTCAGAATTCTGGCAGCAGCGTTCTGGATGAGCTGCAGCTGTCTAATGGTCTTCTTGGGAAGGCCGGTGAGGAGACCATTACAATAGTCCACCCTGCTAGTGATAAAGGCATGAACAAGTTTCTCCAAGTCTTGACTGGAAACAAAACATCTAATTCTTGCAATGTTTTTGAGATGATAGTATGCTGATTTAGTTACTGCTTTGAGTAACTAAATCAGCATAGATTTAGATAGATATAGATAGATAGATAGATAGATAGATAGATAGATAGATAGA